TGGTTAGGTGACCTGGCTATCGTACTACGCAGCATTGGGTACACAGCTACTGATACTCAACTGGGCGTGCTGACATCCTCGGAAGGGGTGCAAGACCTATTACGTCGTCTGCCGCTCCTTGCTAATACCACAATAGCCGACGAAGTCACGGCTAGTACCCGTCTCGACCTGGTTCGTGGACGTGTGGAGAGATTGACGTCGGGTAGAGTGACGCCCGACCCCCTCGTGTTTCGAGCATACCTCCTCCTACGCATCCCAGAACATCGTATAGCGCTAACAAGGCTGCTAACATCGAATCACTCTTTGGCCGTCGAGCGCGGGAGGTGGCTGAGGATGGATGGGACATCGGAGCCAATACCAAGAGCTATGCGGATATGCCGTTGCTGCCACGACGATGTGGAGGACGAGCTGCATGTCCTGTTCCTTTGCTCAGATCCCCCAATTCAGGGTATTAGGAGTGCGTTTCTACAGGACATTTGGAGGACATACCCAGGTCTCCGACATAGATCTTCCTCCCCCAAGGAGCTGCTGCATACACTCTTGACATATTCGGACTTGTTGCCCAGGCTGGGTCGCTACGTATATGAGATATTGGAGCTCGTATCACAGAGACCCATGTACATACCTGCATGTACTTGACCCCGTGGTTGGTACATTTCTATCAAACTCACGACGTTGACGCTAGTGCTGAGAGGCCGTACCTTGCGGGGACGTGACTGTATCAGTGAGGCCCGATGTTCGTTCGGTACCGTAGCGTAATGGATTAGGTAGGTAATACATACGTAGTACGGACTCTGGTTAGTTTCCTTCTTAGGGACAGCGATCAGAATAAAACTTCTCTCTCAGACTGTTGACCCGAAGACCAAGCTCCAGTACTTGGGGAAAGGAAAGCGGGGAAAAGAACTAGAAGCACGGCATGCTGAGACGCCAATAAAAATGATAGGCAGTAAACAGTAACAAACCTGGCAAGCCGAAGATACAACAAGCCCAATAAGAGGGGATTCCGCGGGGTTGATACCGCAGTGATTGATGAGGTAGTCGTTGATTATGGAGTCAAAGAGGTGGTAATATACAGAGTTGTTGATATGAGAATACTGATCATTGTCGCTCCTGCGGTAGAACGTTTAGATTACGAACCTCTGTATCAACCATTAACACGCACCATCGAGTCCTATACGTCAAAAAGTAACCATAATCTGATCTCTTTCTATTCTTAAGGGACTCAGCAATATTTGACGACATTTGGTGAGGGTAACAACACTGCAGGAACGATCCCGTACTTTGTAGTCCGTGATTATTGTCATTGATAGTGAAAAGTAATGCAGGACTGACCAAATATCACCTATTGCGTCTTTGGGATGAAGTCACCGCGCAAACCCCACCGACGTCGAACTTTTTGGAACAGTAGACTCGGGCCGGAATGCTCCGGCTCAGATTCTTCCACTTCTTCATGCTGCTATCTAGTACCAGTCGAAGGAGAATGTTGAAGTGAATTACCTTCTCTCAACAGACTTAGGAATAAACAATTGGCATCTACCTGCTCTCAACTAAATCGGCGAGACTGCAGTGAAATGCAATGCAATGGTGGACACATTAGGTGCACAATTCGCTGAACAGTGAATCCTCTTGTACCGCGCCAACATTCGTTCGCTGACCAACTCAGCCCTAGAGTATCTATCAGTGCAGGGTTCGACATTCTGGGTATAAGGCTGGTGAAATCCAAGGCAGGGTCTTCCGACGGTGAGCCTTGCAAGATGCGTACGAATCTTCTTCCTGCTTACCGCGTTCCTTTCTCAGATACTCGCAAGATTATCTCAGGAAACCAGTGTTTACTTCTACAACCTAGGTACACGGAGCCGATGCCAGTAAAGATTTTGTGACCGCATCTCTATATTTCAGTTTCAACTACTGACCGCCATTGAAACGTGCAGATACCGCCAGGCTAAAAGGTTCTGATATGAGTAGCTCATCGATATTGTGTTTGATATCTACACAATCCTTGTTTGGAAGGACTGTGCACTACGTGATGACTCAACTTTGTAGATCCGAAGCTGCTCTCCACATAGAAAACCCACGTGTTGCTCGACCATGTGCGATACATCCATCAGGCGCCCAGAAATCCATTCTTCCCGTTTTTCTAGCACGCGTTGGCTCAGTTTCAAGATGTGATTGCCCCATTTCCTCATGGTTCACTTCCTGAGTTGTCTCGATGACACAAGCGACATGTTCTGCGAGGCCTATCCTTCACGCAATCGCTTTCAACCTCATTCTGCCTTGCTACTGTGAATCACCCTCCATTGTACGATCAATGGAAGATCTGTGGGTAGATAACCAACCACAGATTTGGAAACCAAGGACGACTACTGTGTTCTCTTGTTCAGGCCTCTCGCTGGCCAAAGCATCGTTCCACTGCCGATGTCCGTGGGATGTGGGAAGCACCACAGTTCCTAGCAGATCACACTGGCTGACGCTCTCGCTCTAGGTGTGGTCGGCAACACTGTCGAAATTATTATAGACACCATCATGCCAAACGCAAAGGATGTCGTATCTCCTGTCAAATCGGCAATGTTCACGCCAACTGCGACGACGGTCATCTCTAAGGTCGTACAAGTCACACAGGCCCTGGGAACGGTAACATTGATATTGGTGTCAGCAATGTTAGTGATCAGTGAGCGTCTGTCATCTGGTCGTTCCTTTGCTGCCCTTGTTTTCGTATTTCGCCAACCTTCCTCCATCGTTACTTGCTCAGATCCTTCGACTGCTTGTGCACCTATTTATTTTGAGATCCTTCGCTTGTGGTCTCTTTGTTGTGGAAAACCTCACTCAGCCCTCCACTTTGTCTTGCTACCCTTCAGTTACTTGTGCGAACGTTTCTCGATGGTATTCGTCCTTGCCATCGACCCAACTGTGTCGTCGATCTGGTGGAGGAAGCAGTTTTGAGGCAAGGTCATGGAAACAGAAGACAGATGTGTCCATGGAAAATCAGGCGATCTTCAGTCTGTAAGCCTCGATTCCACGGCAGAGCTCGATATCGGGCGTGCTTATTGGGGACATGGTTATAGAGTGTGATTCTTCGTTCCGCGATCTCTCCGCGGTGAGCCTGGATGTGAATACCACCCCCGAATATGTGTATGACAGCCACTCACTCTCGTGTTTTCAGGATTTACGACCAACGGCACACGCGATGTTGTTCGCATCTGTTGACAATCTTGGTTAGATGGTCAAATTCCAGTGGTGACGCAAAGTAGTGGGTTTCCGACTTCTTCCTATGACGAAGGTACTGATGCGCTATGGCTTGCAGACAACGGTTTGTCGTCCTTTTTATCTATCACGAATCTTTGACCGGTTCTCTTCAATAGCAGTCCACTTCGAGCCCACCTCGAGTTCATTCTCGAGCACCAATGCTGGTGTCAAACACTAATCTAGCATTGTGAGCATTTTCCATCACTTTTTGGTTGCTTCATCTTATGTAGACCTATGATTCGCTCTTTATTTGGAGTCCTGCCGAACCCGGTCTTACTGTTGGCTCTTTTTCTCAGCCCCGATTCGTTTCCGGTGTCGGGCGGGGATATTTACATGGAGGGAATGTCCTCGCCATCCCGCATTACAGTGGCCTCCTGGCGAAGCGGAACTTCTGTTCTCCCAGGTCACTTGCACTGGCGCACCATCCCCGTTCTAGATCATTTTTTGGTCTGGACTGGTGCAGTGACTTAGAAACGATGTAATTTCATCAACTCCCTCCTCGCAACCCATCCTCCAGTCGAAAAATGCCTGGCATTCCCGCACCCAGCAAGAAAAGCGAATCCCCCACATGTCCTGCATGACGCGTGAGCTTCCATTCCATTCGTCGTCTTTTACAGTTCCTACTTCACTTTCAGCCATCCTGTTCCTAATTCCCTCGATAACCCGGCCAGAACAGGACGCGGCGGTATTAGGATCTGGGGGACGACCAGCGGCGCGGCCGACAGGTCTGGTGCACGCCGCTAATGACCGGAGGAAGACTTTCGTTGACGAGGTTATCATTCCTCTTGTCCCTGGCAGAATGAGGACCCCTGAAGACTCGATGGGCCTTCGTGGTCCTCAAGGGGCCTCTGAGGCAATGACTGCCGATGGGTAGTCGGCGAGTTCTGTGCCCCTATATCCATTCCTTCGCGTGCACGATGGACGATCGCATCTTCGACATTCTCATCGTCATCTGCGTCTTCTCGGGTTTTCGGTCTCGTCGTCAGCTTTGGATTATAACGGATATTTGTTCAGGACCTTCGTACGGATATCATGTTCATCGCTTCGGATCTTCTGGACTTCATCTTTATTTTCGATGTGCGTCGACATCACGAATTCCTTCGGTCCATGTTTAGCCATCGCTATAATCCCTATGGTTTCGGATTTCCATGTCCATCGGTGTCGAGCCTCATTTTATTATTATAACCATCGTGACTTCACTACTCCGTGTCCCAATTTTCTTTCGGTTCTTTGGGGTCAAAAGGACATCTTCGCGAACTTGCGTATCTCTTCTTCGAGAGCATCCTACCATTATTACGATTTGACATTCCTGTCCTCATTCTTCTTCACAGTTTCGTAATATTTATACTTTATACAGGTCCTTTGAATGGGTTCTACCCACTCATCCGCAGTAGACAGCCACATTGGGTCCGACTGAATGCACAGTGGTCGGCCTAGAATATGGACTGACTATCGGTGCTTATTTTAGTCCCGCAGTCATTATTTCCTGCCTTCGCCTGGCTTAACGGTCTGGAGTGATGCTGACGCGCTTTTCGACGGTATTGGGGCATTGCTTGGCAGTCATCCCCCGTATGTGTAGTGATGGTGGATGGGCTGAACGATTGATGTCCTCGTTTAAGCTCAGGACCCGCTTGGAATCGGGTTTCGGGCGGGGACACTCCGTCAAGGATGGATGTCATTGTATACACTCAGTCGGTAGGGATGCCGAAAATATGGCTTACGTAGTCTGATTAACCTTCAAGCGACAAACCAATTATGTCATGGTGGCCGAGTAGTTAAGGCGAGTGATTTGAACGAAGACAGTATTATCACTTGGTGTTTCACCGCGTAGGTTCAAATCCTGCCCATGACGGGTCCTTTTTGTAAGGAAGAACGTGGTTTATTCCGTGACTATCTCATGGGAGATGGCGTCCACTTGATTGTGCTATACTAGTTTTTGTTTGGCGCGCGTTCTGAGACGGAGCCTGAACTGCCCTTTTTTAATACTTGGAATGACACGATTACGTAATCGCCAAATATCGCTTTGTGTTTCGCCGCGTATGTTCAAATCCTGCTGCCAGCATCCTTTTTTTTTTCCCACTTCTATGTTTGCTTGGAACCTGGAAGGCTCTAGATGTTTTTCAAGACTTCGCATGGGCGTCCCTGAGTAGGCTGAGTACGAGACTTGGCGCCTGACGCATCTAGGCACTTGTTGACCCAGACGGACCGGAAGCCGTATCGATTTTACGATTGAATTCAGGAGCTTCGCACTCGGCCATCGTTTTTGTTACGTTTTGGTATTCCGTCATTTGTTTCGGACATTACATGTCTTCCTGATACCCCGCATCTAGAAAGGAAATCAAGGGCCGGGAGCGTAACTCACTATCCCGGCCCTGACTTTCTTCAATGAATACCAACAAGTCCAAACATCTCTTTCTTTCTTTCCACCATGACCGAATACGATTTCAGTCCCGCTGCGATTTCCCAATTCCACGAGAAACAGCGCAGCATTCACAGATGGGTCAGCGAGACCAAAAAACATTCCCCGTCTAATCCGTTCGTCCCGGAGCTCCCTCAGCGAGCACAGGGATTCAGTGTCGTGCGACCACCACCACCGGAGCGACGGGTCTCATCGTCTTCATCGCGTCCTACCACGAGTTCCCGGCCGAAACATACCAGATCGAGAACAGAGGCATATCCCCCAAAGTCTTCGCATACTCATTCTCGACATCGACAACAACCTGTACGGTCCAGCACAACCCCCGTGTACCCCACGCGACCCCCAATTTACCAGCAACAATCAATGCCGCAGTACCCGGCTAACTATTACTATAAGCATCCCCAGAGGGGTCAGATGACAACAGTACGTCTTCTTCTCTCTTACCCCAGGCCACCCACCGTTAATCTTGCAGACACCCTACTACCAGCCCCAGCAGCCCCAGTACCCGTATCCTGTCCAGCCATACTCCGCTCCTCCCGTCCCAAAGAAGGGCGTTTTCTCCCGAATCGTCAACTTTGTGAGCGGGAAAAACCCCAATTCTCCTCCTCCTACTCGCCAGCCAAACCGGCATTCGAATAAGAAGAGGCGAGACCGAGGACATTCCTACTGGTAGGTACCGTAGTCCTTGGTTCGCGATCGTTGTGATCGATCATCGTTCTCTTATGCAGAGCCGCCTTTCCGCCATATTGACATTCATTACTGCCACGAATGTGTGGACTCCACACCGTAATCCATCACGAAGCAAAAACGACATTCATAACATCGCATGCACACGACCCTACGTACACAGTTTACGATTCACGCCATCGTCACGGAGGAACTATACCCACTCATCATGATATACTCGTAGACTTTTACTAGTTTTAATGCGATTTTTACATCACTGAGGATTTTTATCGAGGGGCACGTTACACAATCTTTCGCGCCCCCTCCACGCTGACTATTGCGTCATAGATCTGAACGAGGCCCTGTGACCTTGTCCAGGGCAACGCGTGGCTACAACGTTTCGTGTCGCCACACCGACTACAGTAGCGCGTAGTGCCTTTGTGGCTGGATCGATGAAACACTCATTCAGGCCTCAGGAGCTGGACTCGCCTCAAGGCTTGCTACAACAAATGGGAAATTCTTGAACCATGACTAGAGTTCTCTCTTGGCCCCATGTACTACCTTTGAGCTGCGGCCGGACTTTGGAGGGGTCTATACTCCCACGATTTCAGATCATTGTAACATCCCGAGAGAATAAGGAAGCCTCAAATCATTCCGTTACCAGTATTCATTTTTGGCACCACCGCACCACCCGAACTCCACAATGGTATGAGTGCTGCGTTATTTTGGGGGTGATTGTGATGAAGGTGAGTCAGAAAGAGCAAGCTTTTTGTTGAGCGCTCATGCGGGTCATGAGATGCAGCGACGTATTTGATTATCTCCACACATTCACAGAGTCAACGGATCTGTTTCATTGGCCAAAAGACGTGATCTGCCTTCGCGGGGCGCTTCAAAATCAGGATCCTTGAGGTCCGAAACCCAATATCCTCCCCAACGGGGGCCGTTCATCACAGGTCGACCGAAACTGATCAACACCGTCCAGCACAAATCACAATATCGATTAGCTTCTAACGGATGCAAGTGATTCATTTCTTCCAGGCGCCTGTCGTTTAAGGTCATATATCCAATTGTCTGTATAGCAATGACACGTCCGCGTGCCAATTCTTCCGACGCGAACCTTTTGTCGACGTCATAAAAATAGTCATAAACAGTGATGAATTTCTTCACAGCATACAAGTACAGAAACGGAGGCAAAGGATTGTGAACGCATTCAACTACATAAAGAAGATGCCTTGGATCGTAAGTATCGTATAGCGAAAGGAGAAGGAAGCGCTGCAAACGTGTGTGTGCATGCGCGCGCGCGCATCATCTATCGCCTACATATCAATCGATAATCTAGTCAACACGGGTCTCCGTGGGTAGCTTTCCAGTATCATTCGCCCGCCGAGAGAAATCCGAGCTAAAAAGATACCATCCATTGGTAGAGGGAGGATCAACCCGAACGCCAGCTGATACATCTGATAATGACTCCATATCGGTGTCAGAATCGACATCTGAGAACATGTCAAAGTCGGAGGCCGCTCGACTGGTAATGAATGAGGAAGAGAAATCAAGGGTTGGAAGAATGAACGATCCAGTTGGCTCTTCAAATTGAGAAGACCTCTCCATCTGATCCTCATACTCTCCTGATATGCCCGAGAAAATGGAAGAAGTATCAGAAAATGCATCCTCTTCGTCCTCTTCCGGTATTGTTCGTAATTCTTCCAGTGCGCACCACCCGCTTCCACTTTCCCCGATGATACTCCTGACTTCCGCTTTAGTCCAGCCTATAAACTCGACTTTGAGAATGGTGCAGGCACCATTTGCGTCGGCGCGGGTTGCGTATGCTGAGCATTGTACACCCCGCTCCCAGACATTCGCCGCGTCAAGTCGGGCGAATAGGGACGAGACTCGCAAGGAATGCAGTTCGTGAGAGTTGTGAATGGACGCCAACCTCGGTAAGGGAAGAAGTGACCGATGAGAGGGCGTATCTGGAGGGAGAGGGGTACGCTCAGTGGGGGTAGGTGCGAGGGGGATGAGAAGAGAAGTCGTAACTCCGTTGCTAGGAGGAGCGGGGAAGTAGTGCTCAATCTCAGCATCGACAGTAGGTTCTGACGCAGGGGAAGAAGGCAAAACAATTTTGTTCTCCTTCGCCTTCAAGGAGAGCTTTCCCCCGACTTTCTTCTTGTCGTGATTGATAGACTTCTTCATTGCATCCCTCTCCTTTCTCATCTTAATCTCCCAGTCGACCTCACAAAACGCACGACCGGTTACAGGTACGTTCTGTGCAAAATTTTCAAAGAGAACATGGCCTGAGGAGAAGTTCCTTGCTGTCCCGAGACCGACTTGGGTCACGGTTCGAGGAACAACCGGGCCGCGGGGGATAAAGTGATGTTGCAGAGGTCTAGCTAGAGTGTATCGAACAGAGTGTGACATGCGTTGCTGAATAGATGGAATGCGCCCCGGTAGCCCTCCGTGGATAGACTGAGCCACTGACGGCGCTCGACGAACACCTAATCCTGGTGCAGTAAGATGAACGTAGAATCGGGATGCAATTTGTTTGGCTGTGGATAGTATCCGTCTTGCTGCATTTCCAGTAGATGATGTACCGGCAGGTAACAAGCTTGGGTGCGCAGAAACATGAATGGATCTGGTTGCCGCCGTCCGTAACTTTGGAACGACGAAGGCGGAGATGTCGCGGGTTGCAGCCCGCGCACCGTGAGACGCTATCTGCATCTCTGCAAAGTTAAGCGATGCTTTCAGTAAGGATTATGCTCGACGATGGCTAGAGGAGGTGGTGGTCCAGAGCCAAGGTTCTGTTCCTGGAGCGCCGCCGACTTCGCGTCACTGGTGGCTGTCCTTCGGCATGACACATAGGTATGACTTGAGTCTATTTACGATATACGATCACACCTTAAATCCATCATGATCGCATAGTACTCAGTATTGGACGGAGAATTGATTTCCCACTCCAGATGGCCGCTTGAATACTAACTCTCCATTCCGGATGGGCCTTGGCTAGTGGCGTTTTGAAGGTTGTCATCACCTTGCATCATCAAGCGTATTATGACCAACTCCACAACTGACTCGGACTGTCTGATGTTTATAGCGAAATCTTCTTTGACAAATCACAGGATTGTGTTTGATTTCACGGTCATACAGACTAACCAAGACGTCACCTACTACTGCATATTCAGGCTCGAAATACATTCACGGATGCTTTTCGGACATTGCAGGCCTTCAATGAACGAGTCGGTCGATGGCTAACGAAAATACACAGGCGAAATGTGTGACCCTATGGGTATCAATCCGGGGCGAACAGATGTCGTGGACCTGGAGAATGAGTGGAATGAGGGCTGAGGTACTATCATCGCTGGTAACTCCACTTTTTAGATCATCATCTAGTTCCACGCTCTCAATGTGCTCGCAACATGTAAACGAAACAAGAGGATCTCCTTTCATTGGTCACTAAAACGGTAAATATCCGACTTTGGTATCTTGAAAAGCAGATAAGTAATTTTAACCGCTATTTATATATTTCTTCCGCGTACGGAACACAAAATTTGGTATCCGGCTGGTAGTGGCTTGCGCACCGTCGCCTGCGTCTCCAGCTGGTGAACCATCCAAACCCATAAATACATACCTGAGTGGAGACGAGGTGTCACCTCCGGAGTGCTCCTTTCGGCGGTCTGGAGGAGTCGAAGACGTCCCAGGGTAGCGCGTCTCTGCAAATGCCGGAGGTCCATAGTCACAAGAACATGGAGCGATACACCATGATAGTATCTGAT